TCACGATCTCTGCGTGCCGCTTGTCCGGCTCAATCATCGCATGCCGGCAGGGACGGCCACCGCCAGGCGGAACTCCCGCACTGACTTCGATGACCCGATTCAGGAAGACCGCCTGCTTGTCATCGCCCTCGTCGAAGCCGAGGTTCGCAGTCTTCTTGAACTCGTACTTCTTGCCCAACGTGGCTTCGAAGCTGTCGATGTCCTGCTGCTGAGCCAGCACCGCGAAGTCGTCGCCGTGCCCCAGCAGCCTTGTCTCGTCCACCTCCTTGTAGAAGACCGCTGGGCATGACATGCCCGCCTTGTAGCCGTGTTCCTCCAACAGCTCCGTGTAGTCGCCCTGCCAGATCTTGCTGGCGTCCTGCGTGCCGTACCAGGACTTGAGGAGTAAGCCACACTTGTCCTCGCCGTACTCCTTGCGACTCTCCTCCTCCAGCTCCACGAAGATCCTTCGCTGCGCCTTCCCGTAGAAGTGCGCCCTGCTGATGTCGAAGAAGCCGATCTTGAAGTTGCCCGGCTTCCTGCCCTTCTTGCGAAGCGACTCCTGAATGTGGAGCGGTGCTTCCCGCGTCCACGTGACCATCAGCGAGACCAGCGACCGCATGGCCTCCAGAGGAGGCATTGCCGAGAAGACCTCGGACGCCTCCAGCTGCTCGTCCGGACGCTTCTTCGCCTTGATCTCCTTCACGACGAGCCTGCTCCTGTAGTTGGGCCTCTCCGCGTCGCCCTTGTTCGTGTCGACCCACTTGAGTGGGATGGGCGGACGCCCAGTCTCAGCGAAAGCCTGAGACCTCGGGACGATCTCGATCAGCTCCTGCTTCTTGACCCACTCGCGCTCGACCGCGCGAGCCTGGGCCACAAGGCCTGCCTCCAGGTAGCCGCCGTTGACGTCGTCCCAGTAGCTCGTCCAGTCCCCGGGCGGCACCGCCGCGTCCACAGGGACTGGGCCCGACTGCTGCACCTGGGCGGTGCTGAGCTCCCCCACGTCGTTCAGCGTGTCCTTGAGCTCCTCCAGCACCGCCTCCACCAACTTCGGTGGATAGACCTTCGCGAACCGCGCGATGCCGCCCACGAGCGTGATGTGGCGATGCCACTCCGCGCGTCCGTCCACATTGCTGCAAGTGCCCTGCAGTCTCCGAGCCAAGCCTGGGTGGTTGGTGACCCACCCGGTCTCCTTGCGCACGAACTCCTCCTGGCCACTGCGTGGGTTCGTGAGCTTCATGCCCCACCGACACATGGGGCCT